CTTTACTTTCATATGAAAGTTTTCATGAACGCACTTTAATCCCACTGCGAGCTTAAGTGCTTCCTTCGAGTCAAAGGTTTGGAGAACTTTGACATGGGATGTAGGCTGGTAGGAAATGTTTCCCTGTCTACTTTTGATAACTGGGTCCGGACAAGGTGTTGGGTCGGACATACCCCAAAAACTATTCTTTACTGGCTTGATATCTTCATAATCGGAGTTATCATCGTCTTCGGGTATGTTCAAAATTTCGGCAGCAACAGAAACATTTTCGGCCATATCTACCTCCCACAACGGTTTTGACTGTTCGGGAGACCGGATCGGGTACGGGTTAGGGGACTGCATCGGAGGCATGTTCAAGTCTTGAACAAAAGAACTGTCAGGTTCAACGGTAACTTTTTGTTCAAAATATGAATTTCCAGCGGCATCATAAGGGAAGAAGGTGCTTGGATTTTTACCACTGCCACCACTAGGGAAGAAAGTGCTCTGATTTACACCAGGAGCACAACCGGGGAAGAGTGTGCTTGGACCATATGGGTTTGCACCGCTAACGTCGGGGAAGAGTGTGCTCATAGCACCGGGGTAAAAAGTGTTTGGACCGCCCGGGTTTGCACTTGATGGATTTCCTCCATAACCTCCATTGTCGACCACATATAGTGTCAACATTTCTGGTAAAGTTTGACGAATGGCGTTGTGGAGCATTACCACATCATCGTCGTCCATAAACTGATATAACGTATTCGTTTTAAAAAATAAATTGAAAGGACCACGTAAACTTAACTTTTTCGTCACACGTTTGATGACCCTAAAATATGTTATTGGCGAAGACAAACGTATTGCACATATAGGGGAGGTTATCGGAAGGTACTCTACAACACCAATTATGTCTTGGAATAAACCGCCACTTCGAAGATACACACAACATCACCACTTTGACGTGATTTCATGTTTTGTGATGGTTGATTGTGTTTAATGGGTTAAAGGTTGTGATGGTTTATTGTGTTTAATGGGTTAAGGGTTGTGAGAGTAGAATATATGAGAAGAGAAATGAAGGGGAAGGTGTGAAAAATTATGAAGTAGGAGGTTGGTATTTATAGTGAAATTGATATTACAAAAAAAAAATAAAAAATTACTTAAAGGCTGGATCGCCCTTGGGGGTGATCTGATGACGTGGCTCAGCCCCAGGTAGAAAAAAAAAATTATAATTTTTTTTCTTAGACACAAGTACGAATTGTCCCCCGGAGGCGATCCGTGTGGTTACTTTTGTAAAACCTTTAAAACCTGGTTATTTTATGGAAGAGGGTTGTACAAAATGGTTATTTTCATCATTTTCCCTTTTGAAAAATAGTTGGGAACATTCGTGTTACGATAACACAAGAACACTTTTCTACTACAAACAATCACATGTGATACTATTATTCCATTACATATGATACTCATGTAATATTACATCAGAAACGTGAACGACTTTTGACGCGATCTAGGTTGTAGGTCAAATCGTCCTTATACTACTAAGCCCCCTCACATGTACTATCACATGTGATAAATGTTTTATCAATGTGATACCATAATTCATCAAGACCATCACATATGATACTAAATCATAGACGCAGACAATCTTTGGTGCAACCTAAGTCGCAGGGTACGACATTCGCCCACCTCCAAGTCCCTTCATGTGTATTATCACATATGATAAGGATATTCTTACGGTCTCGTATAAGAACTGTTTTGTTTATATTGACCGTGAGATCCAATCTCAACCACAAATCAAAATCATGAAACTAATAATATTGATAAATTTAACTTAAAATATTAATTAAGGGCATTTTAGGAATTTTATAAATATCTTCTCTCCTCTCTCCGCCGAATCTTATTCGGCGAACCTTATTCTGATGAACCTTATGTGAACACAAGATACACACTGTGATATCTACAAACAATATTCACTGTGATACTCAGATATACATACACGATGCACAATGTGATACCATTTGTAAAACAATGAAAATAACAAAAATGCACACTATGGTACATTTCATAAAACAAAAAAAAAATTACATTATGATACACGTGAAACATTGTGAGCATTATCACTATGATACATTATGATTCACAAACGTTTTCAAAATACGATGTAGATAAGGTAATTGATATATACTAGGCGACTAATTTTAATTAAATATTTTTCTCTAAAAACATATGTCCTGAACCACAAATGAAGCAATGAGACTTATCAGATTCAACAAACGGACGACCAATTGCTGCAAGTTTGTCACAAATGCTTATACTCATGACAAACTTTGAAGTAGGGTTGACAGTTTTGTATCAAACGAAACCAACCAACCAACATGTATATTGGTCATACCAATTATATTGATACCTATCAATCTGGTTTCGATTACAACTGATTGATATTACCGTACCAAGTATGCAAAATTGATCGGTGTATGGTATTGGAAGTCATGTACCATGTTACCATTATTTATAAGTTTTAATTTTTTTTTATGTATTGAATATTAAATTTTTAACTTTAACTATTTTGTTTGAAAATTTGAATGATTGCAAGTTTTAGTCCTTGCATTCAGAAACCATTAAACATTACATGTGTTAACTAAAAACTCAAAATATCATTCAAAATTTGATGATGACAAAGTTTTCATATATGTAACTTGAAGTTAGTACAAAATGCAACCCAATTTAAATGGAGTTTTGGGTAGCAAATTTAATTTAAATGTATACTAGAATCATGGATAAAACTGTATTATCCAAAATATTAAAACATGGATGAAATCCAAGGTACCAAAACATAAATTATGGTTACGCTCGATACTCAAAGCAACATTGTAAACATGGATAAAACCTAATACCCACGCAGAATCTTTAGGTGATGTGAGAGACCTGTATCCATCAAGTTTAACCACCCAAGCTCTGTACCTTGAGTCCTCCGTTGATTCTAAATAGTTCTAGCTAAATTACACGGATAAAGATCCTGTCTGATGACCAACAAACTGACTCTCATGTCTATTGATCTGTTGTATTACAGTTTAAATCACATGACTCGTAGTGAATGATCAACGCAATCAAAACATGCAATTTTCATATAAATATGTCATAACTGCATATCACATTTCAAAGCTCAACATTAAGCAAGTTAAACTAGACAAATGTCCCCAAAGCTAATATGAGTCAAAATCAAGCCAAATACTCAACGACTCATTTGACTAATCAAGAATGGTCAACATAAACCAACAAAATTTGAATACTCAGCGTATGAGCCATTTAAACATCAAAATGTTTGAAAATCAACACCACGAACTCAAAGGTCGGGCAACAACCCAAAATGGGTATTTATATAAAATTCAAGCCATTAAGTTTTTTCACTCGTTGGACTAATCCAAAATAATTCATCATAATCTTCAAAAATGCATTTAAAGGGTTTAATAAATATCATGACCCAAAACACCATAAAGGCCAACGAAGCTAAATCATGCATATTACTTGAATGATTTACAAAAAGTAATATACAAAATGCATTAACATCAATTAACATTAAATGACTGATAAATCATCAAAACCCTCAAATTTTATGATTTATTATCAAATATCCAAAACCTCCAAATATATATGTATTTCTTAAGATTTATAAAATCAAATGTACAAAAGATGTGAATCTCATCAAAAAAATCAACACGTTTGATAAAAATCAATAAAACATGTTAAGACTCCAAAATAATCATTTTTGGCATGCAAAAAGCTTTCACAAATCAACTTGAACTCACCTTGCTAGGTTAAGTTAAACTTGGGTTCCAAACCCAAACCTTTACCTTCCAAAGGTAGAGACTTGAGATCCAACATTTACCAGCAAGAATGGTAATTACCCCCCCCCCCCCCCCCCCCTTCAAATCTCCCAGAATACCAAATGGGTTTTTAAGAAAACCCTTAAACAAGGTCAACAATGATGGAAAGATAGTGTAGAAGACGAACATTCGTGAACTTCAAATCCCGAGACCTGAATCCTAACTCCCAATCTTTTAAATGCTCTCTAAAGTTCTCGATTTGGTGAAATAGGAATGTTAGGACCGAAATTAAAGAGAAGAGGAATGAGTTGGTGAGGAAAGAAATGAAGAAAACATACTAAAAACGGATTTATAAGAAAACCGACCCAACTCCACTTATACCCCAGATTTCTGCTCACTTTTTGCGTATGCCCTGCGCCCGCACATATTATTTGCTCATTCATGGACACGAGCCATGCATTTTTCAACCTTATGAGTTTCTTGCCTAAATGCGATACCCAACTGAACTAAAACTCAAAATATTCATCAAAATTAATTTGAGGTTAAATTATTTATAAAAACTTAAAATTATACTTACCAAAAGATTCGGGTATTACAAATAACCATTGAACTTATTTTGAATGATTAAGTTATTGAATATTAGTTTTGGAACAATAAACCATTGAACTTCTAAAAATTTATTACCTTCGTCCTTTTAACCCAAAAAATGTACTTAAAACTGGCTAAAAAAGTTTCAAAGTCAAAAAACTTGAATCAGTTTAATCATTCCTTTGGGTCATTCAAACCCCTTGCACCCAATGACATCGCTCTATCGCGGCCCATCATGTCTGTTCTCTGTACGAGCCATTGTCATCGTTGGCCCTATCATCAATGTTCCTCCTTTTTATCTTTTGATTTTCTTTTTACAACATTTTAATGGAGTACTTATAAAAATATAAAAAAAAAAAAGGAAAATTGAAATACCAAAAAAAAAATTGATAAAAAAAGTGGGATTAGTTTAAATTTGGACTCCACACGTCAAAAATGTCTGAAGGTCCTAAGTTCAAATCAAAGGAGGAATAAAAATCCCCTTGTAGTCATGGAGGTCTAAATGCAATGATTGCGGGCTACCCGCAAAGCAGAGGGTCACCTTGAGATTAGTCAGCTTGCATAGCGGGTTAAATATCCAGCTTAATAAAAAAAAGGCAAATATAAATTTTTATTTCTTTTTTTCTCTCGATACAAATACAGATACAAATACAAATACACAGTTAATTCTATAGTGAACCAACTGAATCCCCATTGATATCTGTTATGTCCCAATGGTAGGGAATGGGTGTAAGCAGAAGTGAAGTCCCAATATACCCCAAATGCTTCTTATTCATTCATAATAATACCAATGTAACCATCCAAATCTAAAACCCAACCATACCGACTCATTCACGAGCCACGGCCACCACTTGCTTCCCGACATTTCGGCCAGAAAATAGCCCGACCAAAGCTGCAGGTGCGCTTTCAAGCCCCTCGGCGATATCTTCAATGTAACATAACTTCCCTTCTTTTATGAGGGGTATAACCATTTCCATGTACTTTGGATACAGATGATAATGATCGCTTGTGATGAACCCTTCCATACGCACACGTTTTCCTATCAGGKTAGAYAGGTTCYGCACCCCYTCCCCCTCCTCTARRTTGTACTGTGAGATCATCCCGCAAACTGCAATGCGACCACGTAATCTCATATTCAACAGTACCGCCTCCAACATCTTCCCCCCAACGTTTTCAAAATAAATATCAATGCCATTGGGGAAGTACCTAAAGATTAGATAAAAGAAAACCCGTCTTAAAAACTAATCTGATAACAGTTTCTGTTATCTTGGGTGACAATCATGCTTCAGGGCTAACCTCTTTAGAGCTGCATCCAGATCTTGCTCTTCCTTGTAGTTAAATGCATCATCGAATCCAAACTTATTCTTCAGCAGCTCAACCTTCGGTGATGAAATTTGTATACAAAAATGACTTTGAGATCCAGAAGAAAAGAACAACTGAGCTGATTTCTAAAAGAAGCTTAATGAAACACATGTCCATCAATCATGGGTAAAAATTACGCTAAAAAGTTATAAAAAGCACCGACCTTTTCTTTTGTTCCAGCACTCCCGACAACATGGCATCCTGACAACTTTGCAAACTGCCCAACAAGCTGACCAACTGCGCCAGAAGCTGCTGAAACAAACACATACTCTCCTTCCTTTGGAGTACAAATCTCATAGAAACCAGCATAAGCGGTCATACCAGGCATGCCTAGAGATCAACCACACGAAGATAATCAGGAGGTGAAACACAAAAATCAACCATTGAGCAGAGCACTCTCTTCTGATTACTAAGTACATACTTCTCATGTAAGTTACCGTGTTGGATGGATTATACATGTACTTTAGTAACATTCTCTGAAAATTACTAAATGTCTAAAACACTCTTAACATAATGACAAAATAAGACAATCTCTTGGATCAGAAACAATATAATCAATGATCCTTGATTTACAGAATCTTACACAATGAATGGCGTTTTGGAGGCTCATCCTGATCTACTGATCTACCTGTGTGGTACAGGGTTCTACAGACTATATTAATGTGTGTGATTCCATAAATTAGACCATTTGTATTATACCTAACGTAATTTCACATTGTTGTCCGTTTGAACATGATAATGATTTCCATGGGGCCTGGATCCTGACATTTAAGTTCTGGATGCTTCTACAACTTCTTATATGCTCCAGGACTCAACCAATCAGACCCTATGTCTGAATAGGAACAAAAATCCTTACAGTAACATGTGCAGGCAAGTACTAGAGTGTGAAACTTGAGGGCCAGCTCAAGTCGCAAATAAAGGCTAGGCCTAGGGGGATACTTTGCATAGGTGGCTAGTTCAGATTAACTTAGAAGACCTGAGGATTTTCCTTGCTGCTATCTTCAGGGAACCATGGGATTAGTCAAGGTGTATACAAGCTGGCCCAGGTACCTTTGGTTACCCAAAAAAGGACTGGAGTGTGTGTGCCATGGGGAGGGATCAAACTCTATGTATAAATTTGAAAAAGGTGCAGTACGACTAAAAACACTTTATAAAGAAAACATACCAAGAAGTCCCGTATAATAGGAAAGAGGCACATCAGTATGTTGAATCTTGAATAGAGTTTCAGGAGCTGTGACGATGCTGTATTCCTCCCATCCAATCCCTCCCCAAACTAGGTCACCTTTCTTAAAGTTTGAATGCCCAGAATCCACGACTTTAGCTACTCCATATCCTACTATAGGCTGCAACATGGTAATGGGTAAATCAAAACACAAGCTAAAATAGTAAATTGTTTTCCTTCAAATACACGTAAAACATGGTGAGCCGGTTGCACCAAGGCCCTTCCAATATGTCCGGATAAGATAGAGAAATCTTTGTAAGTAATCCTTCCCTTGCATTTTTGCAAAGAGACAGCTTCCATTAAATATAAGGAACTTGTCCGTTCTTTTTCCAAGACATAACTCATTTGCCCACAAATGTCAAAACACATCTCCGATTTTGGAACGAAAGTAGTACTAGATATTGTATTTTTAATTTGCATAGTGGTAGTGAATTTTGTTCCTAAGCTTTATAAGGCATAGATATGGTACTATACACCAACTATGCTTTTAACAAGAAGACTAAGAGCAAGTCTGGTTTGAAAACAGAAGCAGATACAATCAATTTGTGACAATCCAACAAAGAGACATAGAAACTCACATACAACGCGAGAAGGCAGAAATACAACTGTAACAGTTCATGCTATATTTAACTTTAGTCAGCAACATAATTACATGAAGCCTTATTCTTGGCCTTATTTGATTCAAAATTTTCAATTTGTCTGTTATCCTATTTTAGTTAAGCGGCGACATTGTGTTACCCTAAGCCATTATCATAGCTTACCATATAAGGAAAAAAAGTTTGCCCACCCACTTACAACTTAGAGTTTATAATCTACTCTAAATTTACTAGAAATATATTAGAACTAAAAGTTAATGACCACCAAGCACCAGTCCCCGGACTTTACTACGGAAGAATTCTGTACAGCTTCACTTGCATTGTAGCAAAGAGGTTATTTCATTACTTGGACACTCCGGTCATTAAAGGGTAACCTTATTGACTGCTTCAAGCTTATTTACCGGACATACTTGGCGATTTGAAGACCAATCTATGGTGGCTGAGTTTGTAAGCAAACCCAAGCATAGACAACTGAACATACTATCAAAGTCAACTACTCCACTCTCTTTCTAGTATGTATTGATGGCTAAATTGCTTTAATATTATAGAGGTTGTTTGTCTTTCAGTCTAGTATCAACTCTCGCTACCCCATGACTTATAGTCACAATTATCATCTACGAACCATTGAGGGAGCAGCTAATTGGGTCAATCAATATATTTAATTGACAAAGTGGATGAAGATTTAGAAACATGGTAAAATTGAAAATTATAACGATCTGGTTTCTGTTCAAAATCAATATGGAATGTAGGCATGTGATCATCGCAAACCCTACCCAAGGAATCATCCCTTCTCCAACAAAATGGGCATGGAATCTTATGCCATACATACAGTGGTTATACGAGTAAAATAAGAAAGAGAGTTCGTAGCACATGATATTTCCACCTCCACCACTGGCATCAGGGATCAGAATTCATCAAAAGATTTCAGTTAACTTGAATTATATGAAACTTTACACTCGATTTCAGTTAACTTTACCCTAACGTTCAATAAACAGAAGAGCAAAGAGAAATTAGAGTATGATTCAGATAAGTTGTGGAAGATGAAGATACATACCGAACCAGGAGTGAAGGATTGAACGTAACTCCCTTGACTTTTGCTCATCCGATTCCGCATGTAAGGATCACAGGAAAGATAAAGGTTCTTAAGAAGAAGGGCATTAGAACCTTGTGGAAGGTTGAGAGTTATGGTGGACGAAGTATTGATAAGCATGTCTGATTCCTTAGGGAAGCCATGAACGTAATCCTTCAATATTACCTGCTTGTTTCTCACTTCTTCCATTATTGAAGTATGCAGCATCAACAGTGGAGTGGATTGAAATGAAGCTCCTGTGGTTACTACAACGATATAAAGCAAAAAAAGATGGATATAATAAACATATTTTTATTCGACACGTGCTTTTATAAATATATTTGATTGATTTTAGATATGTCAAATATTTATAATAAAATATTATATCTTGGCACACGTTTTAATAAACATATTTGATCATTTTAGATATGTTTTAAAGGGGGGTGCTAATGGCACCCCTTATAGGAGGGTATTGAATGCTTTGGAAATTGTGATAAGTTTAAAATTCAGAAAATATCAAATCAATATTAAAAATATATTATATTTAATTATTATTAGTATTTAATATATATATATATATCAATTAATTAAGTTATATTATATAATTATATATATAATCTTTATATACTTTACATATATTATATAATATTTTTATTTATATTATTATTATTATTATTTTTACTTATATTATATATATACTAGAAGTGTACTCGCGCAATGCTGCGAGATATATCTTGATTTTAAGATTTTATTTTAGTTTTTTTATCTCAGTTGATGTTATAATATGGTATTATGTGATTTTGAGAAAGCGATGATGCTTTATTTTTGAATGAAATATAAGTTTGAAKATATYATAAAAATTTGACAAAAATACATCGATATTAGTATCAAATTAACTATTTAAAATTTCTCATTTTTTATGTAATTTTTTAATTCAATTTTTTTTTTAATAATTTAAGTTAGGTACAATAACGAAGTAATTTATATTTGGTTTAATAATATAATTTTTTATAAAGATAATAATTATTTATTTTGTTAGAACTCGATAATTATTATAATTATATTTTAGATTTTTTATATTTTAAAATGAGATGTTTATCCTCTATTTGATTATGTTTATCCGCAATTAKTTATACGAATTCAAACATCGAGATTTAATAAGTTGTACTTATGCATAATTTACTTGTAATCTTCAATTTTAAGTAATATGCATCAATATACAGTACTTTATGCATAACAAAAATATATCGATATTAGTATCAAATTAACTATTTAAAATTTCTATTTTTTGTGTAATTTTTTAATTCAATTTTTTTATTATAATTTAATTTAGGTACAATAACGAAGTAATTTATATTTGGTTTAATAATATAATTTTCTTATAAAGATAATA